AAAAAAACCAACTGATTGATAATAAAACTAGATCTAGTTATTTATTAAATTGGTAAAGGAAAATGTACATTACAAATTCTACTCTACATGTTATTCATACCATTTTTTATGAAATAATGAACACTTGCATAACTCAAATTACCATAAAAAATATTTTTATTTCAAATTCTAATTTTATTAAATATGCTTAAAATAATATGATTGTTATGATAGTCTATAAATACAAGAAATAGGCCTACATTTTACACTCAATTCACATTATATTGAGTCAACAGTGTGGAAGCTGAAGTTCATACACGGTATTAGTGTCTTTTTTTTTACATTACATTTTTTTTTCATATTGAAAACGTGACGTGTAATTTTTTTTAATAAAATCTCCAAACATCGTCACTCGCGTGATTGCTTGCTTATGTTTACTATCCCGCGGGTGAAAAATCCCACCACGGTCGAGGGGTCACTGTGCGGTCAGCAGGCCTGTAGTACACGTCATAGAATGAACACGCGTACACGAGATCGTCGGTGTCTTCACTTCTCTCTCTCTCTTCCCCCCCCCCCCTTCTTCAAGCAAATTATAATAGAGTAGAGCCGAATGGATACAAAACTAAGACTAATTTTAAAACTTAGCTTAATTTTTCTTTGTCTACTCTCTTAAAAGATAAAGCAAATGTAGTTTAATGTAGTAAGGTAAAGTAATTTAAATATTCAATATCAACTTGAAGTCGATCTATCTTGATAAAATCTGTCAAGAAAAAAAAAACGATAAAAGATCTCCATCCTGAACTTAAACCAATTGTAATTTTAACAGACGAAAATGATGCTCGCGCACATTTTTTTTTAACTAGATCTACGTCTAGCTTTAAAAATAATAAACACATAAACGCTTAAAATGCCCGTAAACAGATTATTTAGCGCCAAAAAAAAAAAAAAAAGGCCGCTGAACAAGCATTGTTTAAAATACGCAGAAATGAAAAAGGCTAACGGCCTATCAAATAAGTCTAAAAATCGCCCGAAATTAGGCCTCGCTCTGAAAAAGGCCACAGAGCATCACTGATTATATAAACGAATAGGCCACGCAGCGTTGACGAGGTTAACCACCGGTCACGAATTAAATTCAATGCAGCTACTGTCGGCCCACAGTGAAGAAAAAAAATCAATAATAGGCCCTACTAATATTTTAATAAAATTACTAATACAATAATAATTTCCACAATTTTACTTTTTCTGCACACGCTACAGTTGAATTATAATTAAAATACTAGACTTAAAGGTTCATTCCGCAAAAAACAAAAACTAGTTGTTTCTGTGAGGTAACTAGCGTAACAATGACGTCACGATAGTAAACAAAGCGGACAGAAATTTCTGCATGGGTACCTCATCCTCATATTCGATTTTTAAAAAATGTATCAACAGATCTGTAATTAATCATTATAAATATCTCAATTATATATTTCTGCATTTGTACCAGGGGGTTTCGACCATGTACTGGGCCGTTTAAGGCGGCAGTTCAGTTTTTCCCAAGAGTACTCGACAAAAATAGCGTGTATTAATTAAAACCACGTATCTCGTGAATATTTCGAACATTTTAAGCCATGGCGTCCATTTAGTTAGCATCTCACATTAAAATAATGATGAGATTTTGCGATATTAGCAGTTTTTTCATTTGTCGTGTAACGGACCCCTAAAAAAAAACGCAAAAAAACGCAAAAAACGACGAGTGACGTTTCAGGGTCAGAGGTCATCCCGCCATCTCAGCCAGGAGACGATCTATTTCTTACTAAATCTAGAATTTACCCAAATTTCAAATTAAACATGACTACTGAATGATAGACATCCATATTTAATCCATTAGGGACTAATTTTGAAGTTTTTAGTTTGTTTTAAACTAAATTACTTAATTTAATATTTATTGACACTCACTGCCATGGACAACACATCTCAGACATCTCTCCATGACAACTCTTCTTATACCTGAAGGCACTTGAAGCTAAAGAGAACCACAAATGCGGTCCGGTCCGGGCACCATATTGTTGTTAGCAACCGGCCACGCCTCCGGGTTAGCGAGAAATACTATATAATAGTCTGGCGCGTTGCTTAGATGGCTGGATTGACCTCTGACCCTGAAACGTCACGCGTCGTTTTTAGACGGTTTTTACGTTTATTTTAGGGGTCCTATCCACGACAAATGAAAAACCTGTTAATCTCGCAATTTTTCATCATTATTTTAATGCAAAATGCTAATAAAATGGATAATATGCCTTAGAATGCCAGAAAAAATCGAGATATTTGTTGTTGTAAATAATGAGAGGATTTCTAGTGGAGCGCTCTCCGTAAAAACTGAACCGCCGCTAAAAACGACCGACCTCCGGGGAAAACGGCCCGACAGACTCTAAGTTATTATATAATTGAGATATTTACCTTGTATATTTACATTATTATTGATTCTGGTTTCCAAAATCTTATCCCAAAATGAGGTACCCACGCTGACATTTCTATCCACTATTTTTAGTATCATGACGTCATTGCTACGCTAGTTGCCAGACTGAAACAACTAGTTTTTGTTTTTTACGGAATGAACTGTTAAGTCTAGTATTTTAATTATAATTCAATTGTAGCATGTGCGGAAAAAGTAAAATTATGGACATTATTATTGTATTAGTAATTTTATTAGTATATTGATTTTTTCTTCACTGTGGGCCGACAGTTGCTGCATTCGTGACCGGTGGTTAACCTCGTCAACGCCGCGTGGCCTATTCGCTTATATAATCAGTGATGCTCGTTCAGTGGCCTTTTTCAGAGCTAGGCCTAATTACGGGCGATTTTTAGACTTCATTGAGCCTTTTTCATTGCTGCATATTTTAAAAAATGCTCGTTCAGCTGCCTTTTTTTTTTTTGCGCTAAATAATCTGTTTACGGGCATTTTAAGCGTTTATTTATTTATTTTTTTAAGCTAGACGTAGATCTAATTAAAAAAAATTTTTTGTATACAGCTGGCTGTCTAGCATGTCTGATATGTGAACTTTAAAAAAAATGACCGAACTTTAAAAAAAAATTTACCAGAAGTAGGAAAGTAGGTCTGTTTTTTAATTTGCTTGAAGAAGGGGGGGGGGGGGGGGAGGGGGGAGAGAAGTGAAGACACCGACCATCTAGTGTACGCGTGTTCATTCTATGACGTGTACTGAACTCACGGTGAACCCGCGACCGTAGTGGGATTTTTCATCCACAGGATAGTAAACATAAGCAAGCAATCACGCGAGTGACGATGTTTGGAGATTTTTAAAAGAAAAAAAAATAACATACGTCATGTCTTCAAAATGAAAAAAAAAATGTAATGTAAGAAAAAAAAAAGACACTAATACCATGTATGAACCTCAGCTGCCACACTGTTGACTCAATATAATCATCCCCATAATGTGAATTGAGTGTAAAATATGTATTTGTATTTATAAACTATCTTAACTATTAACTATTACTATCATATTATTTTAAGCATATTTATTATTTAAAATTAGAATTTGAAATAAAAATATTTATTATGGCCATTTGATTTTTGCAGGTGTTCATTACTTCATAAAATGGTATGAATAACATGTAGAATAGAATTTAATAAATAATAAAATAACTACATCTAGTTTTAATTATTAGGGAGGCTCACTAACTTAAAAGCGTCCTTGGTTGCTAACCAGAACATGGCGTAAGGATCGGACCATGACTTCCGGCGAGTTTTTCGACTTAGTTCCAGAGACCTTCTTAGAATTACTTTTAAAAATGTTTATCACGAGTAAAATGGCGGGTTTTCACGTTATAAAAACATGCTATAGGTGGCAAGGTTAAATATGCCAGAAAAGCATTTTCAGAAATTGCTTTGGGGAATGTAGGCTAAATTTAAAGTCGGTGTCATTCAAAATAATATAACTTTTTAAATATAGATCTCCATATCACAAAATTGATTTCCAAAGTAAAGCATTATTAGTTTTATCATTCTATGAAAAAATAAATCAAATATCTTCAACACTTTTTTTTATAAGATGTGTCCAAAAAATGACAACCAATTTTTTTTATTTTTTTTGACCACGTGACCGCTATTTGAATGGATACGTTTACCTGGCATGGTTTTTTATTTTGCTCTATTGTACAATAAAAAATGTTATAAAATTAAAGAAATAAAAGAATTCAAACATCACTTCTGTCTTGTCTTTTTTAAAATTCTTTTCTGATGACATTCTCTTAAATTTTTTTCCTCTATAAATATATCCCGACGATAGACGGGCCAATTCTACTTTTAGGAACTCTCTTGTGAAAAAAAATTAGATCTATTTCACGGTCACTTAAAAAGTTAAACCTTTCAACTTTTAACCAGGTTGTCATGGATGATCCGTCATATCATAGCTGTGAGTGACAAATAAATTTAAAATTCAATAATTTAGTCTAAACTCGCTACAACCCCCAAATTTAGTGCCTAGAGGATAAAGTATGGACGTTTTTTATTCAGTTGTCATGTTTAAATTGAGAATTAAGTAGATTTCACAAATAGTAAGAAAAACTAATTATCAACCAGTTGCTTTTTGTTATTTTCCGGTGAGTAAATAACCTAAGCTGACGCAATTACCATGGCGGGAATTAAAAGCTCGTGGACACAAGTCCACGACGTCATGTTATGCCGGTCGAGGAGTAAGAACGCTGTTTTGTAGTTCATTTTCCATTCTCGGATAATTTTCAAATTCTCTCTTTTCTCGTCAACCGAGTAAGCTAGATATTTAAATGTGGTGTCAAATGTTCTCTTAAGGGGTAAGGAACTTAATGGTGTATTTGAAATAACATAATGTTTTATTTTAAAAAATCCATAATTCAACCTACTATATAATATAAACATTGAAATCGAAAGTAGACGAACCAAACGGCCTACATTTTTAACTCGCCATGGCCATTGCATTGTCCATCTCGCATTTAACCAAGAAACACGAGATAAATTGTTTGGGTTTGAAAGGTTATTTGAAACCCACCTTCAGTGACTTCCAAAGCTTTAATTTGATCTTCGCCCCCAGATCTCGTAAGTAGATCAGGCGATAGTATTGCGTTCAGACTATCGTATATTATTTCCTTTAGAGAACGGTTTCTCTCCCCGTCAGCTCCCGCCATTTTAAATAAAATTGCAAACTTCCGTTTCGCCGTCCGTTTAAAAAATCCAAAAACAAACTTGACCTAAATCAGTATCTAGCAGAGGCGTAGCGAAGGGGCGGGGGCGGACCGCACCGGGTGACACCATTTAGGGGGGGGGTGACACCAGGGCAAAAAAAATAGCAAAATTTATAGAGAAAAATGATAATTCCACTTAATTAAGTGATTAATTCGAATTTTAATAAGTGTATAATATAGTGTTTTAAGAGGTGCAAATCAAAAGTTTGAGGGGGAGGGGGGGGTGCAAATCGAAAATTGAAAGTTTGTCCCCGGGAAGGGTCGCTACGCCTCTTATGACATTTTGTACTAATACGCTGCTATTTAAATGACTATAAAATTGTTTTTAAAAATGCGTGGGTCACTATATCTATTAGATACCTGAACTTTAGGAAGAGATTCACTTACTAGATAAATGGCCCGTTGAGGGAGAAATAATACGGGCTAGGTTGATAGTGTTATCTTTTTTTCTAAACCGAGACTAAAATCACCACCTTAACTTCAAATTTAACAGGAAATGAAAAATGTATTTGAAAATGGATGTTTATCAAGAATTGGCATTTTAACCGAATTCAACCTAGAACTACACGTAGGTATGTTAGGTTAGGTTTGACCGTCGTCCCTACTGGGACATAGGCCGCTGACAAGAGTTTTCCAGACGTCTCTGTCCTGGGCTAGTCTCTCCAACTGTCCCCATGTGTATCCAATCTTCTTGGTGTCTTCCTCCAGGTCACGTCTCCAGTTACTGCACAATAATGCTAAATCAAGTCGTAGTCATACTCCTAAACCTTGCATCTAAGCTCAAACTTGACAAAAGTCGTATTTTGAGTTTGTTTCAGCCAACTCTTCGGAGGGGGGGGGTGTTGCTTCTCGGTGTACGTCTAGCGCCTTCTATAAAGAAATAGAATTTATATAGAAAATTCCTCCCCGGAAATTTTAAGTGCTCTCCAGTAAGCGCGATATACTACGTGCTTTTTAAAAAAGTGCGATTTGCCCCGAGCTATCCTCGGACTTTCATCCCCATGGCAGGGGTCGGCGTGGTCGAGTCGGTAATCAGTGTTTCTTCCAGACTTTTTTCTCCGGGGGAGCACTTGATATTTTCGGGGGGGGGGGGGGGGGGCGTACACCGGTAAAAGTATATGTTTTCTATATAAATTCCATCTCGTTCGGGGGGGCCGAGGGGGGGGGGGGCGTTAGACTTTCTTTGAGATGCCTGGAAGATACTCTGGTCGGTAATGCTCATGGTTGCTAAACCGAAAAGTCTCGAGTTCGAACCCTAGGGCAGATGAGGCTCGTTAGCTGGGGACAGCTACTTTTCTAAGAGAGACAACTCCAAAACTCAAACAACTGCTGCCTTGTAGTTTGTTCTTGGTTGGACAAAGGCTATGGAAGCAAATCCAAAAAGAAAAGCAGGCCGAAATCGGGGTCAATGGCCTCAAAGGCGCATAACCAGTTGACACCTATCCTTAGTTGTGATAGAGGCGTGGTCGAGTCGGCAAAAGCTCATGGTTGATAAATTCGAAAACTATCGAGTTCAAACGGTGACAGGACAAATGATCTCAGGACAAATGATCTCAGACAAAATATCTCAGACAAAATATCTCACGGACAAATGATCTCAAGACAAATGATCTCAAGACAAATGATCTCAAGGACAAATGATCTCACGGACAAAAGATACCAGGACAAAATATATCAGGACAAATGATACCATGGACAATTGATCTCAGACAAAATACCTCAGACAAAATATCTCACAGCAAAATTTTAATACTGTATTGGATGATTTTAGTTGATCTGAACATGTATTTATTGACTGTCATATTATATTTGTTTTCTATGTTTAATATTGTTTATAGGCCTATATAAAAATTGTGAGAAATGTTTACCTTATAAATTTGTCATATTGCACTAAACATTTTAAAATTAACATTACTAATATAGTATGCAAAGATAAAAGATTTTTTTTCGATAGACAGAGTCGGTGGGCTTGACAAACATGAGACAATCCTACCAAGTCAGGTGGATTAAACTAGATAAAAGCGGATGAAATAACAATATAGGCACACAATCGTATCAAGGTGGCCGCCCGCTTTGATGGCAGAGACATGCCTTAAGGGAAAGACAACCGACCTCCATGGACAATACAACTAACATCTAAAGTCCATAGTTATGCGTCAGTCACACCTTAGTGATCAGGTGACAAATGCTTATTTAAACGACAGTGGTCATCTCGGAGCGAAGTTTGTCGTAGTGTGCATGCAAACAAAGCAGTATTAGTTGTGCTTACTCAGCTATGGCCTCATTAGTTACCTAGCAGAAAGGTTTTAGAATATTAGTTTCTGGTGAATTTATGTTTATTAAAGCCATAAGTGGTGTAGCAGGCAAAGAGATTTGGAAAGCGAGAGTTCAAACAATAGATGATCACATGGTATTGGAGAGGTGTGATCATAACCATGCACCTTCCAGCAAAAAAAACAAAAACAAAATACAAAAAAAATAAGCGTTATGTTTGAGTTGATGCTGAAATAAAAACAATTGTATTACGTTACGAACCTGATGACCCCTTCAAATTTTTCAAAAAATAGAGAGTTTTGAACATTAATGTTACTTTATTTTTTATTTTTTAACCATTGTCATTTATTATACCTTTCAAGCTAAAGGGGTACGTTTGTTTTAATTTTTACTTTATCAAATCAAAAGCTGTTACAAAGATTAAGTTTGATAAATATTTTGATGCTTTGTTAATTAAGTTTAACACATTCATTTTATTCACAATTATAATGCGTAAAAAAGTAAACAAAACCATATTGACAGTCAATAAAAAATGTTCAAATCAACTAAAATCAACCAATACACTATTAAAATTTTGCTGTGAGATATTTTGTCTGAGATATTTTGTCTGAGATCAATTGTCCATGGTATCATTTGTCCTGATATATTTTGTCCTGGTATCTTTTGTCCGTGAGATCATTTGTCCTTGAGATCATTTGTCTCGAGATCATTTGTCTTGAGATCATTTGTCCGTGAGATATTTTGTCTGAGATATTTTGTCTGAGATCATTTGTCCTGAGATCATTTGTCATGGAACCGTTCAAACCCTCTGGCAGATAAGGCTCGATCACTTCCAACACTAGAATTTAATTTGGTTCTATATTTTTTTCACGTTGCACATATTGCAATAAAGTATGTATGTATGTATATCTTACAAATACCACCAGAATTAATTTCTAATTGTTTTCTTAACTTCTCAAAATAAATTTTAAAGTATTTCTTGCCAACTAGGCAAGGCCTTTCAACTTCCGGCTATTGCTCGTGGAAGAAGACGATTCGCCGGTATTGTAGTAACCGGTTAATGAAATAGCTGTACACTTTTTCTGGATTCATCATGAAATTTAGGATAGCTATTGTCGTGCTTATGCACGTTTTCATTTCTGCATTATGTAAACAAAATCAGGATACTATCGACAAAAATATAATTATTTCGAAAGTAGAGAGGAAAATTGACATAGCCACCCATTTGGTAAAAACAACGTCAACAATCACTTTTGAAAACAAAGGGACATCAGCTCTGAGATCAGTACTACTTGCAATCGACCCTACTCTTAAAGATAACCTTTCCTACATAAGTGCAGTTGTAAGTAAATCAATATCAAGTTGTATGAGGTAACAATAGCGGCTCAATAGCCTCAGTGGGTTTTTTTTTGGGTAATCTCAGGGGTAATCTATCATTTCTCAAATAAATTAAATTTTAGTTTTTCTTACTAAATCTAGAATTTACTCAAATTTCAAATTAAACATGACTACTGAATGATAGACATCCATATTTAATCCATTAGGCACTAATTTTGAAGTTTTTAGTTCATTTTAAACTAAATTACTTAATTTAATATTTATTGACACTCACTGCCATGGCCAACACACCTCTCCATGACAACTCTACTTAAGCTTGAACGTAAAGAAAACCACAAATAGGTTAGACTTTTTAAGTGGCCATGTACCCAGAGTTCCCCACTAGTGATCATCAAATAGCGGTCACGTGGTTTAAAAAAATAAATAAATTTGGTTGTCATTCAAAAGTCGTGTCTTATTTTAAAAAGTGCATGCAACATTTGATTTATTTCTTCATATAATGATAAAACTAATAATTCTACAACCTCCAATTCATTTTTGTGACCTCCGGGCTGATATTTTAGAAGTTCTATTAATTTGAATGAGACCGACTTTTGAATTTAGCCTCCGTTCTCCAAACCAAATTTTAAAATGCTTTTCTGGCATATCTAACCCTGCCACTTATGGTTTGTTGTTATGACACGGAAATCCCGCCATTTTGGGCGTGGTAAACATTTTTAAATGTAATTAGTTGAAGGTCTCTGGAATTTGGCCGTAAAATCACCGGAAATCAAACGTCCGGTCCGGGCGCCATATTGTTGTTAGCAACCGACCACGCCTCCAAGTTAGCGAGAAATACTATTAAATTTTCTTCAAATTATAAAAAGAATAGCATATAATTGTAGTAGCGAGGCTCACTAACTTATAAATTTCGTTATTTTTCGACTTATACATTACTAATGAAAACTAAAGATTAGGTTGAATTATGGATTTTTGGTAAAATCTTAGTTTAGCGTCGTAAATTCGGCCAAAACTAGTAATGGGGGAGAGAGTGAATTAATGGATATGTCATTAAATATTAGTATATTTTCGTATATTTTGATAAAGTATTATAGATAATTGAATAATAGATCACCATTGATGGTTAAATCAATTTAAATATCCTGAAATTTTTATCAACCCTGTTCGAGATAGTAAATTTGCTATTAAAAACAGCAGCCATCTTAAGAAAATGTTATTGAGAGTAGCTTCCCTTTAATTTCTATTCATATGAAAATGTATTTAAATATGATCGTCTTGTTGTGTATTCCTTTTTTCAAAGCATTTTTTTTTAAATGTGAATTTCCTAACAAACAACTTTATTAATTCTAGAAGCATTGTGAGATGCAACTTGTATCCATGTATTAAATCACGTTTTTTTTTTACTAATGTTTATTTGATCTTACTATTACTAAATAGTTGTGAGTTTTTTCTTATTGTTTGAATGTTCACTATTTTCATTTCAGGTTTTTCTTTTCATCAATTAGTAATTCTATCGTAACTTATGACATTTTTTTTTTACTTCTCTTTACCTTTATTAAACCCCAACCTCCGTCATATTTTTGTCGTCAATGTCACAACAAGTCATAATGTAAAAAATTACGCTTCACTCAGCCTTATCTAAGATCTCTAACCATAATTTTGACAACATTAAATGTTTGTCATCATTTATATTTATATATACAGAGAGACAAAATGTATTATCCACCAGCTTCCCTCGTAAAACATCATCTAAAACAATGAGCCAGTCCACCCCTTAAGTGCGTGTTGTCATTATTGTCGATCGCAAGTCTCCACCTGCCAGACACATTTTGGTTATCCTTTGTTGTCAAATTGTCAATATCAAGTACACAAGTGAGTGATATGGGGTTGTCCATAATATGATGTCACATATGATTTGCTACGGGAGTGAGTGAAGATTTGTGACGTCAACTCAGGCGGCTTTGCAATTTATGACGTGTCGGTCTCATGAAGGGAGGTGAACGGGGAAAAATACCTAGGTGATTGGTGGAGAACCTCTATAATGCTTTGTTCAATCAAAATAACGATTAATAAGCATTAGTATACGTATACCTTGCTTAAAACGAATCATCACAAATGTTGCAAGCCTGCTAGTTTAAGACATTCGGCAAAACGGCCGCAACACATTATCCCCGTCAAAAAGGCTTGCCACCAAATGCCTGCCGACGCATAAGCCACGTCTTATGCGGGGGTGTTAGGAATACGGCCATTAGCATGGGCCGCGTTGGAGCACCAGTAGGCTATCGCGCTTTGTAAGATGACGTAAATACTTGAATTCAATTTCGCTAAACTGCGCGAAAATTTAGTAATGTTCCATCGTTTGAGGAAATTTATTTTCTTGGACTTAAATTGAAATATCATGTTGACTGTCTGGCTCTTAATTTCCGAATATCACTTTTAATGTATCAAGATTCAGAACTATAATTTACTTTAATAAGTGTCATCTTATCGTTTATTGTGGTTTTTATAAAGCGCAGAGCAGCTTCAAAATCGGACGGCCATCAAGTTTTCACCAAGCTTCTTTTGGAGCTTAATATGGGTAGTCTAGTTCTATACGGTAAGAGCTTAATACATTTTTAAAGGGCCGAAAGTTTCAAGACAGCAAGCTTGCAGAAATAACTACGTACGTTTAAATGGACGAGTGATAGATGTGTTAGGGGCCGTTTATTAATGAACACCAACTTATGTAATCAAATTAAACGTCGCAAAAGCGTAAAAAAGGCAGTGCTTGTTGTTTTTTTCTATAAAATTAGCCTAACGGTCGGCGGTACCGCTACATGACGTCACGTGCGAGCGTTAACTCGGTGACGATGTGCTAAGTGGGGGAATGAAAAAGGTGGGGTTCAAGAAATGCGACTCGGCAAGCTTTTTACATTCCTTGACCCTTCTTAATAGTTCTTTCGTCCCCACTGAGAAAATGGATCACCAATGAATGACGCGTCATACTTCTACAGCTGGTCTTTCTCCCACAACCATCCCATTTTCACGGGGAAAAAAAACCTGACCCGTCTCCAAAATCACATCGCTGAGTTCTATTCAACCTCTCCCCACCACAAATCACAATTTCTATATGAAACAATATGTTTATGTTTGCTCTGTAATAATGCACGCTGTCATTACTATCTTAAGAGCGACGTCATTTATGAGCGATCTAATATTGATTTGCTTACTGCAAATAAAGTGTTCAAAAGTTCGACCTCCCAACAATTGTTGTGGTCTTGGATGCACACTATTAAGTCTGATAAGGTCTATTAGTCATTCATGTCAACTATATTAAAAAAAAAAAGAAAAATTACTATACAGGGGGTCATTCATAAATGATGTCACGCTTTGTTTGACGATTTTTACCTCCTCCCCCTCCCCTCCGTCACACGTCACAAAAAGCCAGACCCCCCCCCTAAAATGACGTCACACCTAAGCCTACAACCCCCCTCAAAATTGCAGTTGAATTGTTTTTAAACAGCTAAATTTTTCCAAAATCTTGTCTGAACTCTGTCAAAATAGAGTATTTTAATCAATTGTTATTACAATTTATTAAAACAGTTTTTTAAAACGCAAAATAACGTCTAAAATTCGTTTTCTAACATTGCTTTTTTAAAAGGCAAAAGTGTGACGTCGCACCATCTGACCCCCCTCATCACACGTCACAAAATTACGGACCCCCCTCCCCCCTACGAGTGTGACGTCATTTATGGACGACCCCCGGCATATATTAAAGCAATACAAAACAATCATATTAAACCACAAAATCAACACAAAAGACATGCGAATAGACAATTTATTGTTTTTAAAACATGGCCGCTGCTTGTATTTACTCATTGTTGTCTCGAACGGAGTAGTTTAAAGTTTATTCCAGGATATTTATGACTGGTTTGGTCTTGGATTGTGATTTGTTATTCAATTATCTGTAGTGTTATATAAATATATTATGTAAAATATGACATAAATATGGCCAAATGAAAGAAATATTCATTAGTTACCTTCATCGCACTTTACTAGCTACGTTGGAATTTACGACGCTAAACTAAGATTTTACCGGATTTTTTAAAATAAAATATTCTGTTATTTCAAATACACCATTAATTCCTTACCCCTTAAGAGAACATTTGACACTACATTTAAATATCTAGCTTACTCGGTTGACGAGAAAAGACAGAATTTGAAAATTTATCTAGATCTAGAATGGAAAATGAATGACAAAACAGCATTCTTGCTCCTCAACCGGCATGACATTACGTCGTGGACTTGTGTACATGAGCTTTTCATTCCCGTCATGGTAATTGCGTCAGCTTAGGTTATTTACTCACCGGAAAATAACAAAAAGCAACTGGTTGATAATACTCGGAAGAAGATTTTTCTCCCCAACGTCTCCACTTAGTCGGCAAAAGATAGCTCTGCGCATGCGCAGTGACCTATGGCTAGGGTTAGGGCTAGAATGAGGGCTAGGGATAGGATTAGGGCTGGTGTTAGGGTTCTGCGGTTGTAAACACACGCATGCGCAGTACCATCGAAAACATCGCCGCGAAGGCAAGTCGTAGTTTCTCTCCATTGCGCATGCGTTTTGCATGTGTATCTTATTCCGGCTAGCATCGGCCATTTATTAAATTCTACTCTACATGTTATTCATACCATTTTACGAAATAATGAACACCTGCATAAATCAAATGACCCTAATAAATATAATTATTTCAAATTCTAATTTTCTAATTTTAAATAATAAATATGCTTAAAATGATATGATAGTAATAGTTATGATAGTTTATAAATACAAATACATTTTACACTCAATCACATTATATTGAGTCAACAGTGTGGCAGCTGAGGTTCATACATGGTATTAGTGTCTTTTTTTTTTTACATTACATTTTTTTTCATCTTGAAAACATGACGTATGTGATTTTTAAAAAAATAAAATCTCCAAACATCATTCGCGTGATTGCTTGCTTATGTTTACTATCCTGTGGATGAAAAATCCCACCACGGTCGCGGGTCACCGTGAGTTCAGCAGGCCTATAGTACACGTCATAGAATGAACACGCGTACACGAGATGGCCGGTGTCTTCACTTCTCTCTCTCTCTCCCTCCCCCCCCCCCCTTCTTCAAGCAAATTGAAAAACAGACCTACTTCCCTACTTCTGGACATTTTTTTAAAAGTTCGGTCATTTTTTTAAAAGTTCACATATCATTATCATGCATGCTAGACAGCCAGCTGTATAAAAATTATTTTTTTAAACCAGATCTACGTCTAGCTTAAAAAAATAAATAAATAAACGCTTAAAATGCCAGTAAACAGATTATTTAGCGCCCAAAAAAAAGGCCACTGAACGAGCATCACTGATTATATAAACAAATAGGCCACGCAGCATTGACGAGGTTAACCACCGGTCACGAATGCAGCAACTGTCGGCCCACAGTGAAGAAAAAATCAATATAACAATAAAATTACTAATACAATAATAATGTCCATAATTTTACTTTTTCCGCACATGCTACAATTGTATTGTAATTAAAATACTAGACTTAACAGTTCATTCCGTAAAAAACAAAAACTAGTTGTTTCAGTCTGGCAACTAGCGTAGCAATGACGTCATGATAATAAAAATAGCGGATAGAAATGTCAGCGTGGGTACCACATTTTGGGATAAGATTTTGGAAACCAGAATCAATAATAATGTAAATATACAAGGTAGGCCTAAATATCTCAATTATATATTAATTTAGAGTCTGTCGGGCCGTTTTTCCAGGAGGCCGGTCGTTTTTAGCGGCGGTTCAGTTTTTACGGAGAGCGCTCCACTAGAAATCCTCTCATTACTTACAACAACAAATATCTCGATTTTTTTCTGGCATTCTAAGGCATATTATCCATTTTATTAGCATTTTGCATTAAAATAATGATGAGAATTTGCGAGATTAACAGGTTTTTCATTTGTCGTGGATAGGACCCCTAAAATAAATGAAAAAACCGTCAGAAAACGACGCGTGACGTTTTAGGGTCATAGGTCAATCCAGCCACCTAAGCAACGAAACGGCCTACTAAAGATCAATCTTAAATCTATCAAATACTTAATTTGTTGATGATAGACTCATTTGGAGTCATTTGATTTTTATTAATTGGCCACTCCCAGCTTTGCAAATCAAAATAATCCGTGACAACCATGTGTCTATCTGAAGAGAACTCTGCAGGATGGACCTTGCAGCTGATTTGATTTTAGCAGAATATGCACAGTACATTTGATTTTATTACCACATTTCTATTCGTATGGACACTGTCTTCGTCAGAATAAAAATCACATAATGGAATTAGATCTAGATCTAGTTCTAGAATTTTTAAATATTTTTGTTTTTAAATGGTTGTTTAAAAAAGAAAACTAAACCCAAATTATTGAAAAACATGTTTAAGGATATATAGTATAGATCTAATCTTTTTAAAGATATTCAATCCCATGCATGTTTTATTAACTAGTGTAAGTGTTTTAGCAATGCTTAATTAGGGCAATTCATAAAATATGGCGATGTCATAATAAAAATAATCTAACCCTCTTCTCTCACTTGACTTGGGACAGGTGTGTTATTTACTAAGTTTTGTGTATGCTCAGTTTAAAATGTAAAGATTTGTAAGTATTTGTTTTATTTTAAAAAACACTGCAATAGCATTCAAATTCATCAAGTTAGCGAGAAATACATTCTAACCAGCGTCACGGGCAGTGCGCGTGACAGACATCTCGCTCGCTTAGTTTTGTCAACCAGAAAAGTTAGCCTATCAAATACAATTAACCATTAATGTCCCATTCATTCTACCAAAACTCCACCCATGACGGCCCAATGTAAGGAGCATAACTCTGTATGATCAAGTGAATAGTTTCACAAAATATTTGTTTTTGTCTAAATGAAATTGAAAATTAAGATAAAAACTACTGCTTAATGTTGGGAATAAACCTGGCTTTCCAACAGTATTAAATAGAATATATTATATTCGGTACAAGTACAGAATAAAAATAAAAAATGTCGGAGAAAATTCAAAACAGGTCATTTTCGGTAGTCAACTTTATTTATTTTTGTCTAAACAACTATGCATCGAATTTAACAGTTGAATATCAATTTGGTTATGTTTAAGATATATAATTCATAAAATACATGCCTAGATACGTTTAGAGGCATTATTTTATTTTTAATATTGAATCTACTAAAAATAGGACAGATGAGTCTAAAATTTCGAGATAGAAAGAAACTTTTATTTTTTATCTTTCAAAAGCGCCATTGAAATTAGAAGACCGGAAAAGGATGCTGAAACTATTCGACTTCCTGTTTAGTTAAAAATTAGGATTTGTAGGCCAAATTTTAATGAAACAAATTTAATTTTTCTATGCGTATTGTAAGCGGGCGGCAGCGGGCGTTACGGGACATTAACGGTGTTGGGCGGCAGCGGGCGTTACGGGACATTAATGGTTAATTAGGCCTATAAAATAAAAAGAGGCCAATCGCATTAAAATGAACGCCTGTGAGGAAGATATATGCAAATTACAAACTTCAAGCTATGATTTCCCCGTATTCTTCTACTAGAAATATAGCTCCGTTGTTTAAATGACCTCACCCTCCTCCTCTCACCTAGTTCAATTTAAAGTTACACTTTTAACCCCGTTAGGATGCGTGAACTACTGATGACCTAACTATTGAAAAAAAACTGTTCTGGTGTTAAATTGCCCTCCCCTACTCGCAGCACTTAACTTGGGGCCATACACATCAGGAAGGTCTTGGTCGGTGTTGTATCTCGTGCAAATTTACTCACAACACGACTACACACTATTGTTGTATCCAGGACTAAAGCTGCGACACTCGCATAGAGTTGGATTTATTCATTAGATCAAAGTGCTTCAAATTCTGTTTCAATATTGGGATTAGCTGGACATAATGTTGGAATTCAGTTAGTTTGTTATATTATATTTATCTAAATGTCGTGTACCATCAGAAACTAAATTGGTTGACAAGACACATGTGTAGGCTAAAGAGTTTATATTTAACTCAATGCAACAAGCTCGCCGGCAGGTTGAGGCCACGCCGGGGGGGGGGGGGGGGGGGGGCTATAAGCTTACAAAAAAAAACTTAAACAAGATGGCTGCTAAAGTAAATGAGCTTGGTTAACTAAAGAAAAACCAAGTAAAATACATGTCAAATTTGTATTCTTAGGGCAAAGATAACAAAGATGAAAAGCTTGCTGTGATTGAGACATCAGTCAATGGACACAGGTATTTTCAGAATTCTTCAATAATGAATCTTAAATACTTTTCCCTTTAATACAGCTTACTTTTTGTGTGAGTGGGGTTGACAAAAAATAATAATTTTTACTTGTATACTTTAGTGACAAGAGATTCTTTCGTGTGACTTTGCCATCTGCTTTGGATGTTAGTAAATCTGTCACAGTTGATGTTGAAGCTGTGTTCTCCCATATTTTACGACCATATCCTTCTGAAATCACTCAGGTAAATAAAAATATATAAACTGAATAACTTGTAATTTAAAAGTGGTAATCTTAAAGCCATTCATAATATTCTTATTTGTTTTTTTAGGCAGAGAAACAGCTGGTTGTTTTAGACACAAACTTGTATTTTTACTCTCCCTACACAACTGTTAGTCAGACTACTGTTGTTCATACAGCTAACTCAAATATCGAATCCTATACCAAGACTAAACCTGTCACCCAAAGTGATTCAACTATTACTTATGGACCTTTTGATGAGAAAGCTCCTTTTTCAGAGGTATGAAATAAAATTTAGCTCTCTAGTTAATTTGTGGACCTATTTCTATTTAGTGGCATGAAATTTTTTTTTTTTTTTTTTTTGCAGGCTCAGCTGAAAGTTCATGAAGAAAACAACAGCCCATTCCTTTCAGTAACTACTATGGAAAGAATCGTAGAGGTGTCTCATTGGGGAAACATAGCTGTAGAAGAACATATTGATATGAGACACTCAGGGGCTACCCTTAAAGGTCCCTTCTCTCGCTTTGATTATCAAAGACAGCAAGATGGATATGCTTCTATTAAGAATTTTAAGGTACAATTTTTATTGAGATTTTTCTGTGTTGCTCATTTCTATTTGATTTTGTTAAAACATGTTTCTTTTCAAATTTCAATCTAGACCTCACTACCAGCTTCAGCTAGAGATGTGTACTATAGAGATGAGATAGGTAACATTTCAACCTCCAACATGAAGGAATTAGATGAGTCTGTTGATGTGGAACTTAGACCAAGATTTCCTTTATTTGGTGGTTGGAAAACCAGATACATTTTGGGATACAATGTGCCCAGCTATGAATATCTTTACTACAAAGGTACAAATCTGATAGAGATATTTTTTCTATAACATTTTTAGAATACAATTAACTAATAATTCTAAAGGGAATTAATCAAATACTTTTATTTATGATTTGTAGGAGACAACTATGCTCTGAAAATGCGCTTTGTTGATCACATTTATGATGACATGGTAATTGATGAATTACACCTAAAAATTATTTTGCCAGAAGGAGCAAAGTAAGTAACTACTACAAATTTTATTTTGAAAAGACTTAATTTCCCTTCTACTGAACTGATTTTTTTCAAATAGTGATTAACTCCAAAAGTCCAGAGTTTTGGCTCCAGGCATAAAAAAAATAAAAAAAGGTTTTTATCGTTATTCATATTCACAAATCACAAAATAAAATTTAAAAAGCACAAATGAAAAATGCATTAAAAATTAAAAAGAAATTTAATTTGGTGTAACCTTAAGGGTGCTCAAGGATGAAAATTGAACATAGGTCTTATGTTATGGAGCGCAGACATGCCTAACCCTAGCAACCAAAAGTAGGAACACTTGTAACTATAAAGAGGAATTTGAAGCCTAAAAGAAGAACAGAGGTGTAAATGCTACTTTACTCAGTCAAAAATTTAAAAAATAATTAAAATAAGTCTAATGAAATTATACACAGTAGCATAGATGGGTATAGTGGTTAGTTGGACTCTAGTTATATATAGCTTTAGTAGTCTCAAGGCTACATCTAAATACTGCTTAATGTCAGCTTACATAAAAATAAAAGTTAACCAGTAACCTAAGAACCCCACTACCCCATAATAAAAACCGTAACTTTGACATAACATTATTGATTTGATTATTCCTACCTTGCTATGTTAAAGATAAGGACATAAATGATAGTAACTAGTCAGAGTAGTAGTAAGATAAGTTATCTAGATCTAGAAATCAGCATGGCAGTCATAATAATTTTATTGTATTTTTCTCCCTACATGTTATTGAAAGCATAATTTAAATCTACAATTCAATTGCCTAAACCAAAAAGAACATTCAGAAGCTAGCTTGTCCACATTATCTATTAGATCTAGTATTAGATTATACTTAAACATATTGTAAGGAAACAGGAAACGTGTGCCAAATCTTGTTTCCCTGCTCTTTTTTTTTTCAATTCGATTTATTATTACTATTTATACTTTTCTAGGTCTGTAAAGGGTCATTTGAGTTGGAGGAAACTCCCTCCCTTATCATAATAAAGAACAAAGATGAAATATCGGTTTAGCACCAGTGACAATATATTGTTTTAAACATAACTAGTTTGATTTTTTAAAACTTATCAAGTGGCTTCATGAATTAGTGGAAATAAGTATTATAGAAATAGTTTGGTGCAGAGCTTTTCTCACAGCACAGATGTTTTGACAACATAATGCAGTGGTTCCATTATTCAGGGTTATCACGGATTGCAAAATTTGAATTTTAAAATTTCCTGGTTCTCAAGACCATCAAAACAAAACTTGGCATTCTAAAAAGCATATTATCAAGACTTCAGAGCATTTTCACAGATTTACACAATTCGCACATGTGTAGATGGTACTACATACTAGTAAACCATAAGCGGTTGTTTTATATCATGGTTTATGTGCATTGGGTGAGGTTCTAAAATAAACAATTATGGGGTAAAGATATGTGTAAAATTTAAAACTAATTTTGTTCTATGCACAATCCTTTGAATACTAACTTTTGTTTGAGGTCTTTACAAAAATAAAAAGTTCCTAAGAGACAGTATAGTGAACAAAATATGAATCTGTTATCTCAAATAGTAATGAAATTGTATAGTTTATGAAAAATTTCTGTTCATCATCAAGTTTCAGGGTTTAAAATTTCATGATTGGTAAAATTTGCAGATTTATTTTCAGGATTCACTTAAAAAATAGCATCCCTGACAATGTTGTTAAGCAGTTTATCAGCCACAGATCAGTTAATCATTGAGTCAAGTTTTTAAATGTTTATAAGTACCTGATTTTTTCAGTTCAATCGCATAATGATGGGGTTGATTTTCATGCTTGAACTAATGATTTAATAATTTCAAGTGATGTACTTTGAGAAATAGTCTATCAAAATGGGTCTTCAGTAAGTGAAACAAAGAGCGCTGCTATTTTAAAACATTGAGAGCTTTTTACAAATAAACCTACAAAATAAACAGTGGTGTCCACATAGTATAGTTCAGTGGTTCCCAAACTTTTCCGAGTGGCGACCCCCTTTTATAAAAAGTAAGTGACCCGCGACCCCCATAGAATTATAAAGTCGATATTAGTAGGAAATTAATAAGCAATAAAATAAGATTTTCTAGTACACTTTCAATATCAATTATTCTTGATAAATGTTTTAATACAATGAGTGAAATTGCATGCTGTTAACTACCCTCAACATTTGTGGTTGAGTTTTTGTTAACGCCAACCTAATGTCATTCTCAGCCTTTACTTATTTCTTTGTTTTGTTTTTAATTGGAGAAGTTTTGAAAATCTATTCTCACGAAGATATGTAGACACAAAATGAACTTAAACTCATAAGGCAATCGATTTCACGTTGCGGTATGAATGGTGCATATTTCATCAAAATTGTGTGTAACACGGTATGTGACGCGGATGCATTTTGCAAATCCAAGATTTCATCTTTTAATTCATTTGGAATGCTGACAACCTCAAGGGATGCAGAGAGTGGGTCAGTGCAGATATTTCTTCTTTCAGCTCAGAGGAAAATGTCGCAGTTCGTTTTCAAGAGATTCAAATAATGCCCAGAATTCTCTCTCAATTTTTTATTTATTTCACATTCTGATTTATCTATCACACTGCAGAGTCACTCAAACATGGCAGTATTTCCTAGATTTATTTTCTTCACCAATTTAGCAACTTTGATAAAAATGCATCGGGCTTATCATGGAAAGAGATAATATCCGTTCATTTTCCCTGAAGCTTCAGGTTAAGCTTATGTTGATGTTCAAATATATCTGCTAGGTATGATACTCTCTCCAATCAATAAATGTAACAAGCCTTAGGGTCCTGTTTCCATTGCACTTCCATGAACATCTTGATTTTCATCTTTCAATTTCAAAAAACGTATTTATTTTTGCCATTAAATCTTCACAAAATAGCAACTCTTCTTTGCTAACATCTGAATGAGTATATTTCACACAGACAAGCAACTGTGAACACGAACTCACGTCTGTTTGATTCATCAACTTGAAAAGCAAACAATGGTGAAAACTTGATTTCATTCAAAATTTGTTCTTTAACATCTACGGACAAGCCTGCTATAACCCGCTGAATATTATTATTAGGCAGATATATTTGTTGCATCTTTACTGCACTGGAATCCCCAATAATTAATTTCACCATCTTTATCAAGCGGAGTTTGGTGAGATTTTATTCTACTGTGTGTGTTTGTTTTTTTTTTTTGGTTTTTTTTTTTTTTGTGCTTGGCTATTTCTAATGCGACAACAAATGATGCTTGTACTAATGCTGTGTTTCCTTGGTGAAAACTTCCTGTTGATCAAGTCTTTGACGTTTGCAACTAGTTTCATACCGACGAAAGAACTCCATATCTTTGTAGGTGTGTTCCGAATGACTCATTTCAAAATGACGTTTTAGGTTTGAAGGTTTTATAGACTCATGAGTAAGAACAACTTTGCACAGTATGCCTTGTTTCTTCTTTATTCCATCTCCAGTAATGTTAGTAAAGCCGAATTTCAGATATCCTTCTAAATATTTGTTTCAATGCTAGGGTTTAGTCTACCAGTTGGCGAACCCCCAGAAAGCCCATCGCGACCCCCAGGGGGGTCGCGTCCCCAGTTTGGGAACCCATGATATAATTGTTACTTTGCATGTTTAAAAAATAACACATTTTGGAATAGGCCTACTGGTGCTTATGACCTTTCTTATTCAACTTATTGCTTTTTTTTTAGTTTTATTCATTGCTTTTTAATTTTTCTTTAAAGAAATGTTGAACTTAAAACCCCTTTCGATGTTCAACGCAAGGGTGATGAGATTCATTATACATATCTTGATACTCTTGGACGTCCTGTTGTTGTTTTGAGTAAAACAAACCTTGTAGAGCAGCACATTCAAGATTTTGAGGTTTGATTCTTTATTAAATGATATTGAAGCCCTTTTCTTAAATGAATGGAGTTATTTGAAGATAATCATTAATTTTTATGTATATGTTAGGATTGACATTGCTACCTAAAAGTAACAAGCCTTAGGCATCTGAGTAAGAACAGCAAGGCAATGCTATAATTTAATCAGCCCACAAATAGCAAGATATATGATTCTCAATTTATAACCAATTTTACTATGGTATATGCAGATGTGCCACTTCCTGAGATATCCCAGAATTCTGTAATTCGATATTTTTTCACCAAAATTTTTTTTATAAAATTTGAGTTACAAGTTTTCTGGACTTCCTAATTTAATATAAAAAAAAAAAAAATCAAGACAGAGAATCAGATTTGCATAAAAGACTGCATCAGTCTTTGTCCTTAAGACAATAACTTTTAACAGGCTATTATTTTGCAGGACTAAATATTTATAAATGCTTCTCTGACCATAAGTCTGGCCTTTGTCAACACCCCCCCCCCCCCCATCACATGCAATTCCGCTAATTGTTTTTTTCTATACCAAAGTAATGCTGACCTTGCTGTGTAGAGGTAGATTTAAATAGAATAAATTAAATTACTAGGATAGAGCATAAATTCAGTTTAGTATTTATTTCTCTTTCATTTAAGGATAACTAGTAGTCTATAACATAAAGCATTAACTTTGCAAGTACTCCAGATTAGCCATTAACTGGCCTGGGCATCAAAACTATTTTACTTCCCCTGCGGCCAGGTGAAAAGACGACACATTTTTCAACCACAGCAGTTTTAAAAAATAATTTTTAAAAAACACCCACTTACGTTAAAAAAATAAAATAAAATGCAATATACACTAAACTGATCAAAGTTTATTATGCAAGAGGTTCTATTGCTTAATATTTACTTATAATTTATAAAAATAATTTATAAAAATAAAAAATAATCCCAGAAAAACATAAACAAAACACTACTTCTAATATTATTTCTATAAACAATATATTTAAAATGCTGGAACTACTTTCTTTTTCAATAGTTACATTTTAAAGCCAGATAAAGTTACATTATAAAGCCAGATTTAACGACAGAGGCATTTTAATTAGATTTAATTTCACTAATTATATTGCCCATAATTTTGAGAGCAAAATTTCTTACCTTTAGAAAAATTGTAGATTCTATTTAGTGATAAACTTATTACTTCCTGCTTCCATGATATCTTCAAAATCTACTTATCAACACGACTTATGCTACTGCATGTAAAAAAAAAACCTTCCTATACACAGTAGGGCGGGTGCATATGCCTGTAAAGGGTTAATAAAACATGAAATTTGCTAGTGGGCAGCATCTCTTGTGTTCACAAAGAAAATAAACTGTTTATGAGGTCACTGCCTATCTCAAAAGCATTACTTGTATACTAAAAAGCACATTCAGTGTTATCATACAATTGTTACTAGCAATATTACTTGTTTGCTAAAAGCACATTCTATTATTACAGACCACATGTGTACTAAAAAGCACATTCAATTGTATCATAGGGTAATCAATACAATTTATGTAGTCATTAAACGTATTGTGTTACAATACAATACTTCTGTAATCAAAAGAATATTTATTGGAGGTAGGGTTTCAAACTTGATAACAATAAATGATAGTAAATATGTGTCAGATAAGTTACCTTTCTAGCAAGTTATCTTTTTTATAGCATAAATAAAGATAATAGTATTATTTAGATTGTTTTCTTCTTTCAGCTCCACTACACATTCCAGAAAGTTCTGTTATTACAAGAACCCTTTCTGGTTGTTGCAGTCTTTTACTTCTTATTTGTAGTTGTCATCATCTATGTCCGCCTGGATTTTGCCATAACAAAGGTAGTATCCTTGATTTGAGATTTTAAGATCTTATTTGAGGTTACATTTGCTATGTAATAGACTTTAAACGTTTGAATTTATTAAGGATGAGGCAAAGGAAAGTCGAATGAGAGTTTCAAGTTTGATTGATGAGGTCCAGAGTGCTCATGACCGCCGCAGTGCTCTCTATCAAAGCTTTGATGATGCTATCAACAAGTTAAAATTGAATAAAGATAGCAATGCCTTTTCTGCCAGTCGCAAGAAGATTGAAGCAGATTATAAACAGTTAACCCAGCAAATAAGCAACCTGCAAGCCCAACTTAAAACTGAAGGATCAGAAGCTGCAGAAAAGGTATGTTGCCACTGTATGGCTGTGTATAGCCTGTTTACATTATATATATATAAATAAAAGTATATTTGTGGGTTTGTTCATCCTTTATTCATTACTGCACCTTTCGCCATAAAACTTTGGTGAGTAGATTATTGATGGGAGGGTTTCTGCAAGAGAAAAATTTCAATTTCAGCCCCAAAATAAAAATAAAGGAATATTATTGATTTTTGAATACTGAACATGGTTGATTCCCTTTGTCCATAAATAAATTCTGTACTGTAAAAAACAAAAAACTTGTTCTGCAAATAATGACAATACTACCTTGAAAGTTTCTGCAAAAAAAAAAAAATGGCAACTTGGATCTAAATATATATATATATATATATATATATATATATATATATATATATATATATTATATTATAAATATATATAAATATATATATTATATTATAAATATATATATATTATATTATAAATATATATAAATATATATATTATATTATAAATATATATAAATATATATATTATATTATAAATATATATAAATATATATATTATATTATAAATATATATAAAAATATATATTATATTATAAATATATATATAAATATATATATTATATTATAAATATATATAAATATATATATTATATTATAAATATATATAAATATATATATTATATTATAAATATATATAAATATATATATTATATTATAAATATATATAAATATATATATTATATTATAAATATATATAAATATATATATTATATTATAAATATATATAAATATATATATTATATTATAAATATATATAAATATATATATTATATTATAAATATATATAAATATATATATTATATTATAAATATATATAAATATATATATTATATTATAAATATATATAAATATATATTATATTATATAAATATATATAAATATATATATTATATTATAAATATATATAAATATATATATTATATTATAAATATATATAAATATATATATTATATTATAAATATATATAAATATATATATTATATTATAAATATATATAAATATATATTATATTATAATATATATAATATATATATATATATAAATATATATATTATATTATACATATATATAAATATATATATTATATTATACATATATATAAATATATATATTATATTATACATATATATAAATATATATATTATATTATAATATATATAAATATATATATTATATTATACATATATATAAATATATATATTATATTATACATATATATAAATATATATATTATATTATACATATATATAAAATATATATATTATATTATACATATATATAAATATATATAT